TAGGTTATGAGGTATGCGATGTATGAGTTACCATGTTATTCATACAAAAAGGCATCGAGGGTACGTTTACACTAGTTCTGTTTAGGGTCAAAAATGCTACCACGATATTTGTACATAAGCTATCAGATTTGTGGTGCGTATAATTATCAGGCTCATTAAAGAGAATTTGCCGATGGATGACACACGAGAAAAAGACTGATGTCCGAATTCTACAGGAGCAAAACATTTATTTCTCTAGAAAATATTCATCGCTACAAAAAAAGAGACATGCGGAGTACAAAACACGTTGCATCAGTCCTTTAAAACACGTTTCATCATGTTTTAACAAGTTTTTTAGGGTCAAAGTTACCACATGTGAGGACTTAGGTTCTCACTCACCGCAACAATTTCTGTTCATTTAAAAATATGTGGAAAATATAGAACGTATGAGATACAGGCCTTAATTTTTCTCAGAAAAATCATTGGAGGGCAACGACTCGATCCATATTGAATGGGAACAGAATCTGTTTTTGGAAATGTACAAAATTGACTTAACTACTAATCAACCACAAGAACTACTGAGAGCAGATGGTTACTACTACATTTCCACTCGTGAGGGGTCGAGGGATCGAATCCTAGTTCCTTCATTTTTTGGCTTAGCGAGCGCCCAGAATAAAAATGACAGGAGCGGTAGTGGGCCGTAAATCTCGCCAGGTGAACTGGGCTGGGCCGTGGAATGAAACGTACTGGCGTGCGGGAAGGGAAAGGAGCGAGCGATCCCAGTCGTGCGGATCTATCGCAAACGGACAGTCGGCAGGTATTTAGATTTGTCGAAGAGAGAAACATGGAGATAAAGAGATGCACACGACCAGGAGGTGGAGATTACAAGGATACTACCTGCCGTATGATCTAACACCCTCTCTTAATCTCAACAATCCTAGATTCAAATTATTCTTGAATTATTCAAATGGTTTGACGGAGAGTGCCTGGTGAAGCCATCCTTAATTTGATCTTTGGATGGAATGAATCGTATCTCCAGAATTCAGTTTTTTTTCTGCAACCCTTTCTCATACAAAATAAAAATCAATCTCAATATGTTTCGTTCTGACATGAAAGACATGATTGGCGGATAAGTAAGTTACTCCCTGATTATCACACAACATACATGAGATATGGTGTTGATTAATTTCCAATTCTTCAAGCAATGATTCCAACCAAAATAATTTCAGTTGTAGCATTGGACAATGATTTATACTCAGCTTCTGTACTTGATCTTGATACTGTATCCTGTTTTCTAGCAGTCAAAGAAATAAGGTTAAAGCCAAAACGTACTCCAAAACCTCCAGTAGGCTTTCTATCATCACTGTAGCCTGCCAATCAGCATCAGAAAAATCACTCATAAGTGTGGAACTTGACCATCTAAGTTGAATCCACAAATTTACAGTGTGCTTCACATACCGTATAATTTGTATAGTGATAGGTGCATGCAAGTATTGGCAAACCTTATTAACAGCAAAGGATATGTCTGGTCATGTAAGAGTCAAGTACTGCAAAGCTCCCACAATACTTCTGTACTTTGTACTTTCTTCTTCTTTGAGTATAGTTCCACTTCGTATGCTGAAAGTTTTTCTGAAGACATTCCCATGCGAGCTAGAAGTTCATCAGCATATTTTTCCTGTTTAAGTAGTAATTGTTTCCAGATATTGTGGTTCTTTGGCTTTCACATGCTGTTTTTTGGATTAAGTATGAGGTGTGAGGTTTTACTAGCTTTGTTGAACCTTTATTTTGATGGGTCAGCTGGACAGTTGTTCTGTATTTATCAGTTTCATTTTTCCTGAAACGAAATTGGGAGCTATGCTCCTTAATTTTTTTTAAAAAACTACTGTAACATTTTT